CGAGGGGCGCAAGCTCGCGTAGGTGTCTCCCCAGCCGGCCGGCTGGAGGGTGAGGTGGCACGGCGAGGGCTGCTACGCGCTGGCGGAGCGCAGGCGCGGCGGCACCGCGCCGCACGAGGCCGCGGGTCGGCCTGAGGAGGTGTTGAGATTGCGAGATTGCCCGAGATGAGTCGAGAGTAGCCGAGGTGAGCCAAGCTTGGCGGGTGTGTGCTTGTGCGGTGCGAGGACAGGAGGGCGTCTGCCCCCACAGGTGCTGGTGTGGTACGCGGAGGGCGCGTCGTCGCGCGACAAGCTGGAGGCTGTCTGGCACGCGTGCGCCGCCCGGCACGCATGCAGTGCGGCGGGCGCGGCGGCGCGGCTGAGCGAGGCGGAGGCGCGCGAGGCGTGGCCCGCTGTGTGGGAGGCGCTGGCGGCGCAGGGGTGGGAGACCAAGGTCCCCTTTCTCGACGGCGACGGAGGCTTCTTGGAGGAGCGACCGGCGGAGCCGAGTGGGCGCTAGAGCCTCCATGTGGAACATAGAGCGCTCAAAGGCCGTTGTGTGGGTGTACGCTCAGTCAGAAAACAGCGCTGTGTCGGTGCACGTGGTGTGTGCCGCACCCCGGGACGTCAGACGTGACGTGCCATTATTGTTCACTTGGATCTCCCTGATTGTAATGTGTTGGATCAGTTGGATCCCTAGCTCACGCCTCACGGCGTGCGCCCCGCAAAGCGCCTCCGGGCTCTCTTGTACATACATTCATACAAAATCTGCCCGCGGGCCACTCGAGTATTCACAGATGGTGTCAGCTCTCACAGCGTCGCGGGTTGTGTAAATACTGGCGCTTGGCGGCCAAATCGATTTATATGCAGCCAGAGTCGTCCATCGACGTCGAGCGTGCACGTTCGCCGCAGCAGCCTGCTTCCTCGTCGGCCGGCAGCCGCGCCTTCTCGTCGCAGCCTCCACCGGGCGGCAGCGGCGGCGACGGCGACGGCGAGTACGAGCTCCGCGCCTTCTCATCACCTCTACACGACGTCGCCGGCGGCAGCCGCGGCGACGGCGACGGCGACGGCGACGGCGACGGCGACGGCGACGGCGAATTTGATCTGGCGGCGCAGGTCGCCTCCCTCCTCGTGCCCGTCTGCGCGACGATGGCGATCGTCGCCTACCTGCTCAAGACGGTCGATGCCGTCGAGCGAAGCATGGACGAGAAGCTTCCCGAAATCCTCCCGTACGTGCTGGACGCAGACTTGCTGTCGATCGCCACGCTTCACCGCACGCGGCGCGTCGCGCGCGTGTGGAAGTCGCAGGCCGAGTTCATGCTCGCCGGTCTTCCGTCCGTTGTTGTCCTGGGCGGTGGCTCCTTCGGTTCGGGGTACGCAGCCGTGTCCACATACCGCTCGGTGGAGGCGCTCGATCTTTCCCGCATGGCATTCGTGTCGATGCCTCCGATGAAGTCGGCGCGTACCGATTTCTCCGCGGCAGTGACTAAGGACGCGTCGGGCGCGACAAAGATCGTCGTGCTCGGTGGCGTCCACCGCCGCCCTACACAAGTGGCAACGCCATGGTGCGATGGCCCCAAGGCGGAGCTCATGAATGGCGTCGAGGCCTTCGACCCGGCCACGGCGGATTGGGAGTGCCTGCCGCCACTCCCCCTGTCCCTCGCCGGCGCGGTCGCTGTGGCCCCCGACGGTGGCCGCGGTGAGCTCCTAGTCTTCGGCGGCGGCCGCAAGAGCAAGCCGGGCGAGACGTTCGTCGTGCCGGAGGGGGCGCCGGCGTTGAACCAGCACCTTCGCACCTACCTCAGCGGTGGCCCGTACGCCATGCTGCAGACGGCGATGACACAGACAGCGCACGACGGCTCGATGGCACTGCCGACGGGCGGCGGCGACCTCAAGTGGCGTCCCTCGGACCGCACCTTTGCCCTCAAGACACGTCCGGGCGAGTCGACACCGAGGTGGGAGGAGCGCGCGCCGTTCCCCCCGTTCGACCGCGAGTGGATGGGCGGCATCACCCAGCCTGGCGTCGTCGGCGTGCGCGGCGGCGCTGTCGTCGCGGTCGGCGACGAGATCGTGCGCGTGGGCGAGTACAACTATTTGTCCATACCAAGCGAGATATTCTCCAACCAGGTGAGCGTGTATCGCGCGGCCTCCGACGAGTGGCTGCCGGTCGAGATCACGACCGCGCCCCCCGCCCACCCCGGCGCCAATGTGCACGGTGCCCGGGGTGTGGTGGCGCTCGGTGCGTCAGACGGCCACTTGGCCGTCCTCGGCGGCAAGACCGACTTCTCAGCGGTGGGGCGCAACGTGACGGCGGTGCGCTCGCTCGTCGTCACGGTGTCGCCAAGCGAGGGCGGCGCGACGGCGCAGTGGGCTGACCGCGCGATGCTGCCGCCGCTGCCGGTTGCCCTCGACGGTTTCGGCTGCTGCGCCGTCGGCCGCACGATCTTCGTCGCCGGCGGTGCGACGCGGGAGATCCACCCGTTGCACCCGATGATACATCGCGACATGCCGTCGGACAGCGCGTTCATGCTCGACATCGACACCAACAAGTGGATCAAGCTACCCACGAGCTTGCGCCTCGAACGCCACGAACCGTGCCTCGTGACCGCGCGCGTGCTCACACCCGCCGTGCGTGCGTTCGGCGAGCGCGCCAAACAGGGCCAAGAGGACGACGCCGTCAAGGAGGACTTCCACCGCGCCGAGATGGGCGCGCAGGTTGGCTGCACCATCGCATGAACGAGCAGGCGAGCTGGAGTGCTGGACGGAGGCAGACTCCATGGAGGCAATCAATTGGGTTATGAAGTTACTTCGTTGGATCTGAAAATTCCTGATATTAACTATGATGTTACGGTACTGTTTATGAGTCAGGGTATTTTAATGTGATATGGGTTTCGCCTCCTTGTGCAGAGTACAGCTGTGCTAAAACATTTGGGGTTGGATATATAGATACAAAAGTTGATCATCAACCAAAACCTTTGTATGAGAAAGACTAGATAAAGACACCTAGCAAAATCAGCATTTTATGATTCTTCTACATCTTCGAAGTTTGGGTGTAAGATACCCCATCGAGTAAGAGCACTGCCCCCCTGAGGACATCGACATTCGCCAGGCGTACCTTCAGGCCGCCCTCGATGAGGATCTCTACATGCGCGCCCCGCCCGGCGTCAACAACCGCGGCGGAGAGCTCGTATGCAAGCTACGCCGCAGCCTCTACGGGCTCAAGCAGGCTGGTCGTGAATGGGCTCAGCTCCTCTCTTCCTTCCTCGTGTCGTGGGGCTTTGTGCGCTCGACCATCGATGTCTGCCTCTACACCTACGAGAAGGACGGCACCGTCCTGTGGGCTCTCGTCTATGTCGACGACATTCTCCTCGCCGACAACTGCCCCAACTTACGTGCGCGCTTTGTTGCCGACATCTCGCGACGCTTCCCTACCGAGGACAAGGGCGAGCTCGAATGGATCCTCAACACCGCGATCACTCGCGACCGCGCTGCTCGTTCTCTGACCTTGTCTCAGGGCCTCTACACCGCCGACCTCGTCGCGAAGTTCGAGTCGTACTTCGATCGCTCGCGCTCGCGCCACTTCGACTCGCCGATTGAGGAAGGCCTCGAGCTCTCTCCCGCCGATCAGCCCGTTCTCGGCTCCGTCGAGTACGACGAGATGTCCAAGTTTCGCGATGCGTACATGGCCATCGTCGGCGGGCTCCTTTGGCTTGCGAATATGACGCGCGTCGACATCGCCTACTCCGCCTCGCAGCTCGCTCGGTTCATGACCAACCCCGGCCCGTCGCACTTTAAGGCTGCGATTCGTGTCCTCGTCTACTTGCGCGACACCGCTGACCGCGCTCTTGTCATGCGCCCTGATCCCGTCCGTGGCCTCGAGAGCTTTGTCGACTCTAGCTGGGCGACCAAGTTTTCGTGCTCCGGCGGGATGTTCTTCTACTACGGGTGCCTGTTTCATTGGTTCTCCAAGATGCAGCGCTCCGTCACGCTTTCGAGCGCCGAGGCCGAGTTCTTCGGCGCCATGCTCGCCGCCAAGGAAGTTATCTTCATCCGCGAGCTACTGATCGACCTCGGTTTCATCATCGACGCCCCCAGCGTCATCAAGTGCGACTCCAAGTCCGCCGTCGGCATGGCCTTCGACCCCGTCGCATTCAAGAAGACCAAGCACATCCTGCGCGCCGCCGAGTTCCTCCGTGACCTTGTCGCACGCGAGGTCGTCTCTGTCGAGCACCTCCCCGGCGCTGTGATGCTCGCCGACATCCTCACCAAGGCTGCCTCTCGCGCCGTCTTTGTCGAGCTGATCAAGCAGCTCGACACCTTTGCATGATCACGTCAGTTGCGCTCTAGGGGCTGTAGTTAGTCCCCCTTTTCACTGTGTTGTGTCCCTCGCACCCCCGTGCTCTGGCCAGGAGGGGCTGTTCCCGGGGGCATAACTCCCCCACAGCGCAGACGTTCACACTTCCACACCCACAGTGCCCGTCCAAGACTGCCCGTCCAAGACTTGTCTTGTTGGTCCTGGACCTGTCTGTTGTAACTGCTTGATTTTATGTCGTTTCGCTCCATCACGCTCTCGTTCCCCTCGATGCTGGCGTTCGCCGCGCTCCATTGCCTCGCGCGCGCGTCCTCTCTGCCGATGGCATCGTTCACCTACGGTTGGTTGGGCTCATGCTGGGTCAAAAGATAAGCACGCACAGAGAGAGGACCTCCAATCTTCCAGCTCCGATCACTGCCACACTAAATCAGAGCTACTGCAACATGGAACTACCCCATAACTTCCACAAGCTGTCTCGCAACCCCCATCACTTGAGCTCAAACACATATGAGCGAGGCAATTATTTAGTACCAAAATAGAGAGTCAAAATAGCGGTTTCCAAAAATGTGGCCAAAGTTTGGTATTTTTCTCGATTTTTTGTAATTAAAATGTTGATTTTTACCCTATTTTATCCAAACCGGGTGTCTATAAGCCCTTATTCCTAAATAAAAGCAAAAAGGGGTCGCTCATATCCACGTACTGATCGATATCACCCGAATGAAAGTGAAAGGGAGCAGGGCTCCCTGTGGCTTCAAACGCAACCCGCAAAAAAGGACTGTCAAGGCCCACGATTACAGCACTGGAAGCACCACTGACTCCAAATCGTTTCTCTGTGTGCCACGCACGTACAGGCACTCGCTTCTACTTGTTCTCGCTTCTACTTGTTCTCACTTCCGATTGTGCTCAAACACCACATAGATTCGTAGGTTTGGTACGGAGCGAGGCCCTGCAGCTGCACGCTCTATCGCGCCCCCGAGTGGCGTGTGCAGCACGCCGCCCGCACAGGCACAGAGGTCAGAGCACACAGTGTCAGCCGCATTCTGTCAGTCACCACTGACGCAAAGCCCACACGATAAGCGCAAATCTCTTCGCAGCGCGTCGCACGCGGCGAACGCCCGCTCCTCGACTGAGAGGCTCGCAGCGGCGGCGCGGATCTCGGCCGCAAACGTCAGTGCCGCCGCCCGCGCCGCCTCGGCCGGCGCCGCAGCGGCCGTCCCACCATCGCACATCGCGCCTGGCGCCACGCCGCGCGTCGACGCCTCGAGCTGCGCCACGGCGCGCACGAGACTTCGAATGCAGCAACTCATCGCAGCCACCAAGTCGTTGCAAACCTCCGCCCCCGCCGCCGCCTGCCCATCCCCCACCCGCGCCTCCTCTCGGCGCCCCTTTCTCGAGCGCCGTAGCTGCGCCAACGCCTCTCGCACCTCGTCGCGGCAAACGCACGTGGCGGCCAGCAGCTGCGCCGGCGAGTCAGCAGGCTGAGGAGGAGCCGTGGGCAATGCCGCCCCCTCCTCGCCGCCGCCGCCGTCTCCACCTTGCAGCTCCCGCAGCTCTCGCAGCGCCACCGCAGTCGCCGCCGCGGTTGCCGCCGCCTCGGCGGCACGTCGCTCTGTATTGCGCCGGCGACGGGCCGCGGTGTGACCTTTGGCTGGAGCGACGACGGCGCCGAGATATGGCGTGGTCGTGGTCGTGGCCGTGGCCGTGGTCAGCGGCGGCGGACTGCTGCGGTCTATCACGCCGAAGCGCTTGCGCTGGCTCCGGTGGTAGAGCGGCACGCCCAACCGCTCGAGCTCCTCGCCGGCGGCGGCGTCCATCACGACGACGCGCCTAGGGGCACGAGAGCTCCGACACGGCTCCGAGACGGTTCCGAGGGGCGACGGCGTCCACCACGACGCCCTCACCTCCTCGCAACCCGCACCGCCTGCCGCACCGCCTCCGCGCTGAGCGGCCGATGGTCGGCGAGCGAGCGCAGCCCGGCGTACGCAGGTGCCGCCTGCTGAGTACGCACGTCACATAGTGACAGAGGAGCGGAGAGGGGGCAGAGAGCCGCCCCGCCTTGCTCGGCTCGCGGAACATGTCTCGGAAGTGTCTCGGAGGTGTCTCGGAAGTGTCTTCGCCTTGCTCGGCTCGCGGAACATGACGTCAAAGAAGACGACGTCGGCCGACTCGTCCGGCATGGAGCGCAGGAGCGCCGTGTGGTCACCGAGCAGCACCGAGACGCGACCCAGCGCCTCGTCTGCGCGGGCGTCGCCGAGCGTCGACGGCGACCCGGAAGTGACGGCGTGGAGCAGCGGGATCGACTCCATCGCGACGACGCGACCGCCCGGGCCGACGGCGTGCGCGGCGACGAGAGCGTCGCCCAGCAAGCCCGCCGTCGCGTCGATGACGACCTCGCCTGCACGAAGCTCGCATGCCGCCAGAAGAGAGTCCTGGAAGCCCGCCGCGCCCGCGTTGCGCAGCCGCTTGGCGGCGATGCCGGCGTGCAGGCGCAGCGGTGGCCCGCCGCCAGCGGCGTGTAAGCTCGTCCCCTCTCGCCCGACGGCCAGCAGCGACCCCCCGGCGGGGAGGCGGCCGAGCAGCTTGGCGAGGCTGTCCGCGCCGCCCCGGCGCAAATAGCACGCGTCGAGGCCGCACCGGCGGAGCGAGGTGGCGAGCGCGGCGGCCCGCTCCTGCATGCAGGAAGGGTCCGAGGAGGGTCGAGAGGGTCCGAGAGAGGCGGCGAGCGCGCGGCAGAGGGCTCCTCGAACGGCGCCCCGTCGCGGTCCGTGGTGACGTGCACCACGCCCTCGCGCGCTGCCTCTGCCCCGGCGCGTCGAGGCTCCGAGCAAGCTCCGAGGAGGGGCCAAGAGGGCCCTGGCTCCGCGTGTCGATGCGTCGCCGCCTCAACGTCCCGCGGCGGCGGCGGCGCCTCAACGTCCCGCGGCGGCGGCGGCGGCGGCGGCGGCGGCGGCCGGCTGGCCAGCACGAAGCCATTCTTCTCTGAGAGGACTGCGGCATCGTACCACTCGCGCACCTCCACCTGTGGGACGTGTCGTGGGGGACATGTCGTCGGCATGCCGCGGCCGCGTCATGGCACTGCCACTCGCGCACCTCCGCCGCCGACCCGCTAGAGTCCGCGCAACCGCTCCCGCCCTCGCCCTCGGCGTCGCGGCACGCTGCGCGCACCAGCTCGGCGAGCGTGCTGACGAGGACCTCGTAGTGGGGCCGGTGCAGCTCGCGCGCCTGCCGCTGCACCTCCTTCCCGAGCCACCCCTTGAGGCAGCACGGGGAGAGCACCAGCTCGCGCAGCAGAGGGCCACCGCTGCCAAAGAAGGAGACGAGCCGCGCGCTCAGCGCGCCGCACAAGTGCGTCCCGACCGCGCAGCCCCAGGCAAACCCGCCGCCGCACTCGCCCGCCACGTAGTGCTGCGCGAGCCGCTCGAGCGCGCCCTCTTGGAAGATGTCGAGCAGGTGGCACCGCACCTGGCAACTGAGATCCCCCGAGGTCCGCCGAGGTCCGCCGAGATCTCGAAAGTCGACGGGCGAGGCGGCGCCGCGCCTGCGCCGAGCGGATGCGGCGGTGGAGGTGGGAGAGGTCCATGCCCTGCTCCGCATCGACCTACGGACGTGCGATGGGCATGCGATGCGCGTGTCGCGGACGAGCCGGCCCTCCCTGCGCCTCCGCGGCGCACCATCACGACGGTCGCGCCGGGCAGGGCGGCCGAGAGCAGCAGCGTCGCGATGCCACGCCTGCAGGAAGGCTCCGAGAAGGCTCCGAGGATGCCCAGGAGGGGAGGGCAATACCACAATGCCGCGCCCGGCGCAGACGTCGAATATGACGGCTCCACTCCCGCCCTCCTGGCCGTCGGCGGGCAGCCCAACCCTCTGCAACGCGCGCCGCACGAGGCAGACCACCGCGTACGCCTGCGGGGACGTGTGGCACGGACCTGTCGCCGACACGGCACGGACACGGCACGAGGCAGGCCGCCGCCCTCGCCTCTGTCAGCTCCTTGAGCAGCCTCCGCCGCACGCCGCGCCAGAGCTTTGCGCCGCCCTCGTCGCAGAGCAGTGCGCTGAACCACGCCTCCCCCACCAGCCGCTGCAGGTGGCCGTTTCCCGGGTGGCGGCGCGCGATCTCGCCGCGCCAAAACTCGACGTCGGTGTGCCAGCTCGAAGCCTATAGGCAGACTCCGAGAAGGTTCCGAGAAGGTCCCACCCGCAGTCGACGCCGGAGTGATTGCTCGACGCCGGCGCATCGCTGACGCATGGCTCGCACTCCTCGCAGGCCAGCGCCGGCACCATTGCAGGCGGCGCAGCGGGACGCGCCGCCTCCGTGTCGCCGCTCTCAACCAGCTCGTATCCCGTTCCCCACCAGCCGGCGACTTGCTGCAGCAGCACCTCGCGGCTGAGGCTGTGGAAGGCGCAGGCGTCGCACGCGGCGCTCCGCTGCCCCAACATGTGTTCCACCGAGTGGATGCACGTGCCGGAGTTCAGGTGCAGGAGCCGACAGTCCCCGCGGTTGCAACGGGCGGAGCCAGCCTTGAGGCTCGCCCAGCAGATCGCATTACCCGCCGAGCAGGCGCCTGCCGCTGAGACAGCCTGGACGACCGAGCGCTTGGACTTGCGCCTCGCGTCGATGCGGGCCCTCCAAGCGGCGGCGGCCTCGGAGCCGAGCATGGCGGAGAGCTGGTCTCGACTGTCGTTTGCGTGATCTTGGGCTCGTTGTGTTGGCGTGCTCGCTAATGGCTCGCACATCGTCCTTCACCTCACTCACCACCCCACCGTCCGAGCCTGCGTGCATGCAGCGCATGCAGCGCACGCACGCACGCACGCACGCAGCACGCGCACGCGCGTTCACAGCCGCCCGCACAAAAAGAATACGTTGCGTCTTGTTTTCTCTTTTTATTACACTTCCTCCAGCCACCTCCCCATCAAACAAAGTCGTCGTCACCGCAGCAGCTGTCTACCACCTGCGGATTGGAATCCGATGGCGATGTATATCCACAGATCGCTGTGTTGCGCGGACGGGGCTTCGACGAGCCAGTCGACGAGCCAGCTTCGACGAGCCATACACGAGGAGATCAGCTCACGCCGCCTGACAAGGAGCCAAGCAACGGAAGAGGGGTGAGCAAAACGCCGAACCGCCACCTCTCTCCTCCGTCCCTCCCTCCCTGCGGAGCTGCATTCGACGGAGCTCTCCGCTCAGCACCCCGCGGCCCTCCCCCTCTCTCTCCCTTCTCTCCGCCCCTTCCATGCGCCCCTGTTATTCGCAGTGCCTGTGCAAGCCTCCCGCTGCAGCCCGCCCTGCGACTCGCGTCACCCTGCGCCCACCCCGAGGGGAGAGGGGGGCTGGCGCGCCTGCCGCTGCGCGAGAAGCGTCTGGAGCTGCGACACGCGGTGCTTCGTGTGCGTGAAGAGGTGCGGCTTGACCTGGGGAGGAGAAGCGAGGCGGGGGCGGGGCGGCGAGTGGCGCACCTAGTGGCGAGGAGGGAGCGCACGGGGAGGGGGGATGCGCGCCTGCTGCCGCGTCTTGACATTCTTGCGCATCATGAAGAGCTCCTGACCGCACGTGTCGGCGCCACGTCAGAGGGGCGTGTCCTCTGGCTTGGGACCAGAGGGCGCCCGCCATCCCTCCCGAGTGCGAGGAGCAGCACGCGCGCGGCGCGTCCCGGGCGATTCGCAGGCGGGTGAGCGCGCCTTCTTCGCGTTGGAGATCTCCTGCAGCAGCTCCTCCTCGGTCAGGCCCTTGGCGTCGGCAAAGGACGGCAAGGCCATGGAGGGCGACGCGGTCGCACGGACCGCGGCGGGCGGCGCGGAAGCAAGCGAGAGCGCGCCGGGCGCGCGAGCGGGCGCCCTCAGCGCAGCAGCCGGGGATAGCAAGCAGAACAGGGCGAGGAGGAAGGAGCGCATTCGGCGGCGTGGAGACTCGAAGAAGCAGCAGTCTGAGAGCTCGCGGGCGAGGTGAAAGAAGAATTCGCGCGAAGGGCGACGGCTAGCAACACACCTTCCTTCCCGTCAAATCCCTGTGTGGCTCCTTTGGCTTGAGGTTTTTTCTTTCTTTCTTTTATCCAGGGAGAGGCAGAGACGGCTAGCAAGCACCACACTCCCCCCCCCTTTCCGCTTTCCTGGCTCGGCAGCTTGTTAGCCCTCAGCCGCCGTTCTCAGTTTCGTGCAAAGGAAAGAACTAGAGACCTCAGCAGGAGTTCTTTGTTCTCAGTCCCGTCAGGCCCTACTGTAGTCAGTAGTGTTTCAGGGAGTGGCCTCGTGCACTTGGAGCACTTGGAGTGCAGTCGCGAGTCGGTAACCTCAGAAAGAGTGCATTTCTTTGTGCCAGTGCGCGCTAGTCCCGTGCTCTAGTGTCGTGCGAGGGAGTTTGACCCTAAAATTCTTTGTTCTCTGTTACAGGTTTTAGCCGGGCTGGGGGACCCTCCTCCTTCCTCTGCCTCGACGAGCGTGCAGCGTGTGTGGAGGGCGTCCGCTTGAAAGTCTCCTTGATTCAACGAAGTTCTGCCTGCTGGCCACCGGTCTATCACCCTAGGTTACCTCATGCTTGGACTCTCCTTGGCCATCGCATCAGTTGCCGTCGCCAAAGCGCAGAGGGCGGAGGCTCCTTTGACTTTGGGGCGTACCTTCAGGCGCAAGCCGAGGGCACGCTCTGGCTGAGCAATAGCCTGGAGGAGAGGACGGGAATGACCCGCTTTGTCACGGATTGGCTTGCACACCACAAGCCAGGGAAGGGGCACCCGGAACGCACAGTCAAATCGTTCGCCTTTCAGGAGGCGGAGAGTATCAGCCGAAGGGCGAAGGTGCGTTGGGCCGCGCGCAACGGCCACGCAGTGCTGTCGTTGCAGCACGACGGTATAGTCGTAGCGGCCAAGAGAGGGAGTGACGCCGGCGACGTGGCGGAACAGATGGCGAGGGCGAGTGAGGAGGCGCTCGGATACCGGCAGCCGTGCGAGCTGAAAGAGCAAGAGCCTCCGAGCGGAGTAGCGAGACCGCAACTGGCGACACGCGATGAGGTGGGAGGGGTAGTGCCGGGGCTAGGAGAGATGGAAGGCTCGCCCCCGAGGCACGGCGCGTGGGTAAGAGACGCCGAACTCCAGGAGGATCCGCTTACGCGCTTCCTACTGCGGTGGGACGAGTTTGAGGTCGGGACACGGGCGCTGTCCGACAGAAACGGGACGCAGATTATGATGGGCAAGGATAAAGAGCCGCTCGGCTCGGAGAAGGGCCGTGAGCTCAACGCGGAGGTTGCCAGGATATGCCTCGCGCTGCACAGAGCGCGGCCATTCACGCACCTCGCTGCGACGGATGGAGGGAGAGACATGCCAAACAAGTGGGTGGGGGATAGGTTCGTGCCGCGACCAGTTGTGTCGTATGGGGTGTACGAAGGACCGGCCCGATTCGGGAGACCCGTCGAGGGATCTGAACAGCTCGAGAGCGGGGACGATGAGCTGCGGCTCGCGTTTGGGCAGGGGCTGTGGGGCGGCAAACTGCCAGACGACTGGCAGGTGATAGACGCGGAAATGTACGCGGTGCTGGCTTACCTGCGTAAGATGGCAACGGCGGAAGATGCGGCGGACAGGAGGTGCCTCGTCCTGAGCGACTGCAAGCCCGCGCTACAGCAGATCGAGGCGGCGTACCGAAAAGGCTCTCTCGAGGGGCTCAGGGAGTGGGAGGCTCAGTTAGAGGGGATATGCAGATATCGCGCCAAGCTCGAATCTGTCACGTTCCTGTGGGTACCGAGCCACGCGGGGTGCGCTAGCAACGCCTACGCCGACGCCGCGGCGACGGCATACATGGGGGCCAGCGAGATTGAGGATGCCACCGCCGTCATCCGTGAAGCAGTGAGGACACGCCCGTGCCTGTACACGGACCGCCGGAGGATGGCAGACAGAGAGTGGGGGCGGGAGGTACTGGACCGGAGGACCTATTACGCCACACGCGGCCACACGAACGAGTGGGTGCGAGGACGGCTCGGCGAGGGGCTCACGGCGGGGTCGCACACGGCAGGGGTGACGGGGCCGCTGTGGAGCGATGTGGTCAGGGGAACGACGAGACACAAATGGGACAAGCGTCAGCGGATCAAGGATCAGCACGGCGAGCGCGAGATCCAATTCGCCGACGTGGATGATCACAACGTGGTGACAAAGACCGTCATGGGAGCGCGGGTGCGGCAGCAGGCGGGGGTGCCACACGGAGCGCACCACGAGAGGATCATGCGGGGAGAGGCGGGGAGAGATACCCCGGGAGCCGCCACAAGGAGCGAACTCAGGGGCTGCCTCGTCTGTAAGGCCGCGAGGGACGCGGCGAGGAGGGCGGCACTAAAGCGAGACCCGCTGTGTCCGATCGTGCGGAAAGCCGCGCAGCAATGGACCGAGGAAGATGAGAACCCGCCTAGGGCGACAATGGCGCACTTGCTTATCGGCGCCTGCCTGGGGAATAGGGAGCAGGCCAGATGGTTCCTCAGAGCAGCGCGAGCGCAGACGGGGACGGCGATCAGCAAAGTAGCCCAGGCGGCACCCGACTCCAAGGATACACTGAAGACGCTGAGGATAGCGCATGTCGCTGCGCTGAAGGGCTCACGCTATAGGGCGCTGGATGAGGACGGGTACGAGGCACTAGCCCCAGCCGTCGGGGGGGTGTTGCCAGCACTGGTAGATGACCTCTCGGAGAAGAGCCGGAGGGACCTTGGCGCCGGGGTCACGAGGAACTTGCAAGTCGTGGCCGAGGCGGCGACGGGAGCGGTGCAGAGGTGGATCCAGCTCAACGATGAGGCTACCGCGCGCATAATGAAGAGAGAGGAACACATCGAGTGGCTGAGGAAGCTCTTCGCTGGGTGGAAGGAGGCCCGGCCAGCCTCGAGGGAGTCGCGGAGGAAGAGGGATAACAGAGGTAACGTGGGGACGGGCCAACAGCCAGTGGGACGAACGAGGGCCACGACGGCGGCCCAAGCGGGAGGGAGCGGAGACAGTGGGCAGCGAGCGAAGTGGGTGAGACTGATGATGCTCCTTCGACTTAGGGAGCGGTTCAGCTGCTGGGCGGGCTTCAGGGTGGTGCTCACGCGAAAAGGAATCCACGCGATGTACAAAGCATACAACAAGAGGAGAAAGAAGAGGACGGACATCAGTGATGACGAAACAGAAGCTAGCGCAGAAGAGAGCAGGGCAGACCCGGGGACTGGGGAGCCGGAGCGGACGGCATCGGCCGCCGAGGGAACGTTGGGAAGAGGCACGAGGAGGGCGGCGACCTCAACCGACTATGGAGGACCCGTCACCAGACGACGCAGAGCAGACGACGGTGAGGCGGAGCAGACGCGCAGGGCGAGACGAGGGAGGGAGCAGGATGTTGCGGAGATCAGCAGGAGGATGTACGACGAGATTAGGAGCAGCAGGGACCCGAGGGACCATGTGGAAGACGGCTAGTGCTAGTCCCCCATCGGGAGGACGACCCCGGCTAGTCGCCGACCACACCCACAAAGAACCCTGCACAAAGACCGCAGGGCGGGGACCTGTTCCTTTTTACCCATCTCCTAGTAGAGGTGTCCGTTTTATTTATTTATTTAGGGGTGGGAGAAGGACAGGGTCCCCACCTGCACGAGCAGGATCTTGGAAGGACGATCAGGGACACAGGGGAACGTCGAAGGGGAACGGGAGCGGGGAGCGCATCGCGACACGGAGGGGGGCTGGGCAGGGTTCACCCACACGACAGGGTCCCAGGAATTCCCCTCTCGTATAGGACAGGTTGCACCCGGCGGCACCGGGGGCAGACGCGGGCCTCCTACCTGGTTGCGCTGTCCTAGTTCTCCTGCCTGCTCCCGACAAGGGACAGCGACAGGCTCGCAGCACGGTGGACTCCCTATTCCACTGGCGATCTCTCTCGACTAGCGACCTTCCTCCGGCTTCTCACTGGCAGTCTCTCACTATCACGGGCACACTGACAGCGGCGTGTAAAGAAAGAAAGAAAGAAAACAGACAACCCAAGGGAGGGATGGGAGGACGGCACGCCGCCACCACACAGGGATTTTAAGGAGAGGTGTGTGATGCGGCGTGTAAAGAAGGTGGGAAACCCGAAATGAATTTCTTTCAGCTCACAGCATTTTCCTTCCGCCGCGCCCCGCCGCCCGCCTGCGCCTCCGCTGTACACTGGGCTGTACACAGTGATTTTCAGGGCTGTTGGTCACTGGGCTGTACACTGGGCTGTACACTGGGCTGTCTTACGTGACTGCCGCCGTCTCTCACTGAGTCTGCGTGAAGAAGGCCAAGTCGATGGCGGAGGAGGATTTCCCGGCGGAGGAGTGCCCAATATGCATGGGCGCCCTCGTCGACCCATGCCGCACGCGATGCGGGCACATCTTTTGCAGCGAATGCCTCAAGCAGTCCTTCCCGGCAGAGACAGCAGCCGGCAGATGCCCGCTGTGCCGCGGCGCTATCTCGCTCTTCTCGACAGTGTCGATCGCCACAGAATCTGCGCTCCGCCCGCCCGCCGTCTCCACCATCTTTGGCACCACCTTCCTCCAGGGCGGAAGACCTGGCGTCGCCTCGTATCACTTTGAGGTGCCGCCTGTGAGACGCTGCCGAGAGCCTCCCGGCACCCAGAGACTCTTCCCCAATCTGCTCTCGAGGCCGTTCCAAGACGCTTGTGAGGCCACGCTCTGATGAGGCGCAGCCACCGAGTTGAGACGATTGACTGTATTTGAGGCGCCGGACGACTGCTTCATGGTACCGGCTCGATTGATCAGAGATGCGCGAGCG